AACTAGCTCCTTCGGAGATGGCCTGAGTACGGCCGGAATCCCAGCCCTGGAACACCCAGCTGCCGAGACCAGATGTGGCCAGCCACGCGGCTGGCAGTGGTGTCCCAGACTGGGTGTGGGAGACCACGGCCCTGATTACCAACCAACTATGCTGGGCCACCCAGGCCACACTGAGCAGGCTGCCCAGAGACAGCTGCCCCGGCCAGGGGACCTGGGAGGTGGAGTGAACAGGACAAAAACCTCTGGGTGAGGCTCAGCCACCTGGTGTCTCACTCCCTCCACATATCCACTTCCTCATTCATTTGCTCACTCACTTCATTCATTCATTCAGGAGACTATCAGGTACCGGACTATTTTTGCACTGGGGACTCTGAGGCAGACATCATTGTCCTGCCCTTGTAGAGCTGCACTCCCCAATATGGTGGCCACGGGCCACGTGCCGCCACGGAGCACTTGAAATTTGGCTTGTCTGCAATGTGATATGCTGTCAATGTAAAACACACCCTGGATTCCAAAAACTTAGTCCAAAAAAAAAAAGTATGTAAACTATCTCCTTAATACTTCATTATATTGAGTATATATTGGAATAATAATTTTGGAAATATTTGGTTAAAGAAAACATATCATTAAAATTAATTTCACCGCTTTCTTTTTACATTTCTTAGTGTGGCTAATTAGAAAAATTTTAGCCACATGCATGGTTCGCTTCCTATTTCTGTTAGGCAGCGCTATTTTAGGGACTTGCAATACAGAGAAGAGGCTGATGCGTAAGTCAGAAGCCTGCCGTAGGGTTCATGTCACTGGTCAGACTGCAGTGCCGAGGTTGCCCAGAGGAGAAGTGCTTGGGCCACATTGTGAGGGTCACAGGTGGCAGGCACAGAGCAAATGCCTAGAAGAGTCACATCTAAGTCAACAGCCGCGAGACAAATCCACAAGTCATCTGGGGACCAGGGCACTCCAGGAAGCGGACCCAGGACATACTGAGAGCCCCGTGAGCTTCAGATCAATCTTGAGTGTTGGGAACGAGGGAGTACAAGAGGTGAAGGGAAGAGAAGAAGGCAGAAAAGGCCACAGACATCAGTCTGAAAATGCCAGTCCAAGGCTGTCCAACAGAATTAGGATGTGAGCCACATGCAGAGGTTTAAATCTGCTAGTAGCCACGTTCAAAAAAAAAGCACAAGAAATTAATTTTAGTAATGTTTTATTTAACCTCATATATTTAAAATGTTCTTTTGACATGTAATAAATGTCAATAATTCTTACTGAGATATTTTGCATTCTTTTTTATGATTAAGTCTTTGAAGTCTGGTGTGTATTTTTACTGAGATATTTTGCATTCTTTTTTATGATTAAGAGATATCTCGCATTCCTTTTTATGGTTAAGTCTTTGAAGTCTGCTGTGTATTTTACATGACACAGCACATGGCAATTTATGCTGGCCACATTTCAAGTGCTCGGTGACCACATTGACTAGTGACTATGGTATTAGGCAATGTAGGTCTGCTAGACTTTTCTCTCGAATACAATGGGGAAAGTTTTTCAGCAGAAGAGTGCTTTAAAAAAAAAAAGTCTCTGGCTGCTGGAAGGGAAATGTCTCCCATGTACTCCTGAGCTTTCTGGAGCCTGTCACCACAGTCTTCTGGGTGCTGTCACCACCACCCCCAGAGCACCTCCACTTACAAACAGGTAACTTGGGAGCAATGCCTCTTTTTGCAGGTTTTCTACACTGCTATGGTGTTATTAGAGGGCAGTTTGGGGGTGTAGAGAGCAGAGCCCTGTCCTGGGTTTTGTCCAGAGTCCTGAAAAAGGGGTAGGGGTCTTCTCTATTCCCACGTGGTTCCCACCATCTTTCAGGTGACAGCCAGAGGTAATTACCCCTCGGATATTTCATCGCTGGGCTTTTCATCCGTGAAACTGGTGCACATGCTCAGCTGAGAGGCTTGGTGTCCGGAGAAAATGAAGCAACATATGTCAAATGCCCCCTATTGTGGATTGAAAAATAATGGATCAAAAAAATGGTAGTTTCTTTCCTTTGAAGTTATCATCAGAAGGGCTCTTTTCTATTTCCAAGAGCAGCCTAAGAAGAGGAGAGAGATTCCAGCAGCATGACCGGGGGTCAGACTACTTAAATGGTCTCTTGGAAATGCTCCGAATCCTTTATCCAGCCTGCACGTAGGGATACTTCAAGGAGTCAGTTCATTTCAGAGAGAAATGTCGAGAGAAAGTACGCAGACTAGAGGCGGCCCTGCAGGGGGCAGTTTCCTAGCATCACGATAAGCTTTGACTGGTGAGAAAACAACTTTTCAGTTTCCCTGGGCTCTGTCTAATGGGAGAAGCAGCTTAAAAATTGTTCCTAATCTCCAAGGAGTTTTCAGATGCTTAATGGCTTGCCAGGGTGATAAACAACTGTATTCTGGGGAGGCATTATGTGAAACATTACCTACCACTTTCCTCTGCCTTTGAGAATCAAATGAGGCAGCACAGTCTGGGCAGAATTGGGGGAAAGTGCTGGTTTTGAAGTTTGGCACACCTGAGGGAACCACGATTCTGTCACTGATAACCATGTAATCTTTAGGCAAGTTACTAATATGTTTAAACATCACAGTACTTATCTGTAAAATGGGTACAATATATATCTTGCAAGGTAAGACTTACATATGTAAGGGGAGACTATATTAGCTATCTGTTACTGCATTTATCTCCAAAACTTAGTGGCTTGAAACAGCATTTATGATCTCAGCTTCCGTGCCATGAGGAATCTGTTTATGGCTCAGTTGGGTCCTTTGGTTGTCACAAGGCTGCAACCAAGGTGTCCGCTGGGGCTGTGGTCTCATATAAAGGCTCGACTGGGGAAGGATCTGTTTCTAAGCTCTCTCAAAATGTTTGCTGGCAGGATTCAGTTCCTCACAGGCGTTTGGACTAAGGGTACCAGTTCCTCACTGATTATCAGCCGGAGTCTGCCCTCAGTCCCTTGCCATGTGGGCCTCTCCAAAGGGCAGCCCACAACATGGCAGCTTGCGTCATCGGAGTGAGGAAGTGAGAAGAGTCAGAGAAACAGAGATGGTGCAAGATGGAAGTCACAGTCTTTTATAACCTAATCTTGGAAGTGATTAACCATCACTTTTGCTGCATTCTATTGGTTAGAAACAAGTCAGTAGGTCCAGCCCACACTCAAGGGGAGGAGATTACTCATGGGCATTGAGTACCAGATGGTGGGGAATCACTGAAAGCCACTTTAGAAGCCATCAGCTACTGCATAAAGATTCTCAGTGAGTAGTAGCTGTTGTTATGGCCAAATGTGAAAGCCCTTTGAAAAGCAATGCTCACCACCAAAATAGAAGGTTCTACTGATTATGTAGTAGGGCCATAACATTTAACAATCGTGTGACATTATCTGTCTATAATACAGAGGTCAATTCTGTCCAATGTCAGGCTATCCAAAGACTGCATTGAAAGATGCATTTAATTTATATTAAATGTTGATTTGGTAACATGTTACCAAATAATAATATTTGGATACTAATGTTAAAGGTCACCCATTTCCCTTCGTGATGTTTAATTGTATATCCATATCTCTTTCTAATTATTTTGGAATGTTGGTGTTTTTATGGAGATGCAAATAAAAATGTGTGTGTCAGTTTTCTCATTTAACAATATTACAAAAGCATTTACTCCTGCTGTGTAGTGTTTATAATTAGCTGTATATGTCTTTATAGTCATTACCAACTGCATAACATTTCCATTCAGTAGATAAATGTAAAGACCATAATTTACTTAACCATCCTCTTAATTCCAGGACATACAAGTTGCCTCAGTGTTTTACCATAAAAAGCAATGCCATGATTGAGTGTCTTTTGTATAGTAAGTTTTTTCACCTATAATTTGAATTATGTCTTTAGGATAAAGTTCCAGAAAAGCAATTTAGAATACAGACATTTTAATGATGCTGTCAAGTTCTTATCCAAATGAGTGGAAGGCTTTGGCTTTTATATAAGCCAACAGTGCTCCACCAGCCATAGATTGAGTTCCTCAAAGGCAGGCACTGTATTTTACTTTTTATTTTTTTTTAACCATAGCATCTAGCCTAGAAGCAACATTTAATGAATTATTTGTGGACTGAATGAATTAATGAAAATCTTTTAAAATTTGAGACTTCAGGAAAAATAGGCTAGATCTATTGTAACTCTCCCCCCGCCCCCTTAATCAAGAGATGTTGCCTTTCCATTTAGATTCCACTAAGATGTGGAGGGCATACCTGTGCCAAGTTCCGGGCTCTCTTGTTGCCCTTTCTGCATTTCATTTCATCCTCTTGCACCCCTATAGTTTAAATTCTACATGGCAACAAAATGCGATGCTCAAAACATACCTCAGATTATGTCACACCTTTGCTTTTTCAGAGGCTCCCAGGAGACATCCGTTGGCCCAACAAGCCCCCCACCCCACATTTGAAAAGAAACAATAGGTCCTCTTTTCTGGGAGAATATAGTCCAGGGAAATGCCAGTTAGGTGGAGACAAAGTTTCCTCCCAATAACCAGGAATCGTGGGAATTTTCCTGGATGCAGTTCAGCCCTGGGTAATGGGTCAATTCAGCCAAACTATGAATCAGAGTTAAAATAACACTTAGGTAAGCAGGGGAAAACTACTTCAAAAAATACTTTTATAGGTCAAAATGTAATCCAATACATCTTGCCACCCTGCAGCATGTCACTCTTGGAACTGCAAAGAACCTCGCCCCCTCTTTTAAGAAATTCTCGTCTATCTGTTTCAAGAGCTATCACTCTCAGTTTTTACACCCCGGGAGACGTTTGCACAAGATCAGAAGGTGTGAGTGACACAACCAGAGTTTATTTGCGCCCCAACGTCCAACAAGCATGGCTGGTTTAAACTTGAACCTCAGCGCCCTCTGGTGGGCACTTAGCGGTTTGCGTTTCCAGGCCCTCTTCTCGTCCAGGTGTCATCTCGCCTAACCAGTGTTGCTGTTTCTCACCTTGTCTCTCAGGTGAAGGAGGCCATGCAGCGGATCCACGACCGAGGGAACATCGGCAAGTTAATTCTGGATGTAGAAAAGACCCCAACTCCACTGGTGAGTGCACAGCAGAGGCACCCGTCCAGTTCAACACAAGAGGTGTACCAAAGGTCTATCAGGTGCAGGCACAGGTGGGGGAGAAGGAAATACAGGTAGCTTGCGAGCCAGCGGAGGAGACCAGGGGGAATCAAATGATTCCACAAATGAGGGATTAACCACAAACTGAGATGAGTGCTAAGAAGGAAAGTCAAATGCTTTGGTGAGAGCATTTTAACAGCAATCTGAAAGCACAGACAGAAAATGCTAGAAGCAATAAATGTACTGCAGGTGCCATCTGTTGGAGAAATTCCTGGTAAATTCCAATAAATTCACATTCACGTTCCTAAGACAAGGATGCCACTGTCTCTGAGATGTTCCCTGGGGACTCCATTGGTTTTTGTTTCCTTTTACCAAGATAAAACCCTTATGTCTAGGGGATACCACCAGGAGTATAGCATGCCAAACTCACATCCTATCTGCTCTTGCAAGGGCTGCTTGTAATATGTGCCGCTAAGGGAAAGTTCTCATGGTTATTTATTCGTCATTCTAGAATTATTACTTGCACATGTACCTAGTTGCAGGGAAGGAAACCATAGAGACCTGGTCCTTCCCCATGGTGTCTACAGTTCAATGGGGGCAGATGGATGTGGTCAACAAGCCACAATCCGAATGGGGCACTGCAGCTGTTGACCAGTGCTGCAATGAAGAGGTATTTGGGCCATGAATGCTCAAAATAGGAGGATTGTTAGGGAAGTCTGGAAAGGCTTCCTTGAGGAAGTAGGCTGAGCCTGGATGGAAATGTAGGCATTAATTAGGCAGAGCGGGTGGCAGTGTGGCATCCCAGGAAGAAGACGCTACATGTGCAGTGACTGAGAGGGGTGGTCCAGCACCTAGTAAAACACCATGGGGTGGGCTGAGATTCAGGGGCTGAATTTCTGCTAGTAATAATAAGTGGTGAGGGCAGGGGGGGACTTGGATTGGGAAGAGCTGAGCCTCATGCTTTATATATGTTATTGCATTTTCTCTCACTTGGTTCTTCTAACAGTTTTATAAGGTGGGTGGCTTTATCCCCATTGTAATGGTGGAGGGAATGAAGGCTCAAAGGGGTGGTCATAACTAGTGATTAAACAAAGAAAAGGACCCAAAGTCCCTGTCCTGCCAGAAACTGTATTCCAGTGGGAGATAGAGATAGAAAAGTAAATAAACACGTTTGTCAATGTTGTCTTTTCTGCTCTGAGTAAGTGACAGCACCAAGACCTGGACCCTGACCGATCTGTACAGTGGATGCCCTCAGTGGGCTTCCTGTTGGGGGCACCTGCCCCTCTCTAAGAGCCAGCTCCGGCCACCAGCACATGCCTGGGTTGTACACAGAATGCCAGGGAGATAACCCGTCTCCCCTGAGAGCAGCACTTAGCCACACCCCAGGGCTGCCTCACCCACCCCGCAGGAAGGGTGACTGTGTGGCATGTCCTTCATGATCTCCCTTAGGTCCCCAGCAGGACTGAGTCCAGCTGCCCATGCAGGAACCTAATAATGAACATGCCCAAGTATCAGCATCCTGGCCTTTTCTGTCTCATTTCCTCACTCCCCATCTAGTGCTTCCTTGGATCATCTCCCAATTCCAAATACTTGCACCCAAATCCTTATCTCAGAGTTTGATTCTTGGGGTGCCCAACATAGAACAGCGAATCCCACACGGCATTCTGGGGAAGCAAGCAAGCCCATCTGTAGTTCCCAAGACATCATGGGACTCAGGTGCTCAGAGAAGGCAGCGGGTGGGTTGCAAAGCCTTCACCTGTGTCCTCTGTTGAATTTCAGATGGCTAATGACAGCACAGAGACAAGTGAGGCAGGGGAAGAGGAGGAGGACCATGAGGGAGACAGTGAGAACAAGGAGCGGATGCCCTTCATCCAGTAACCCAGGACCTGGGTGGGAGAATGCCAAGGATTGTTTGGAAGAAGAGGACCCAGCTGAGAAAACTCTTCTGTGCCCCAGTGAACAAATGCTGTAGTCCAGTGCGTGTCGTGTTTGTCTGCTGTCAGCTGAGCTAAAAAGCTGTTGATCACTGTTGTTTTTTGAAATTAAGTGCCAATCCCATTCCATGCAGTATTATGTCCCAACCCCATCTGTTTATTACACTCTCCCTCTCCCCTGTATCAAAACCACCCACCTGTGGGTCCTTCTCAAACAGTTCTAGAACAGCCTAGCAGATTAATACAAGCCCAAAGGTACAGTGCCTGAGAAACCAGACATAGGCAGGGACAAGTTTGGATTGAAAGGTGTGCTCACAGGACACCGTCCTGGTCCTAGGATTCTTCAGGCCAATGACACTTTTTGCACCAGCCACCCATGCCTCTGAGAAGAGCACTTGCCAGTTGGGCTGGCAGAAAGAGGGTAGGCCAGGAGATGTTTTCATGAGCCCATAAGTTGAGAAATTCTCCAAATAGTGCTTTTTCTCTCTTTGTTAAAGAGGCAAACTACAGTCAAAAGGTTTGAGCCGCCCTCCTCTACCCATCTGGTGTTTGACCCTTTCGTTGGTTCTTATCCGTAAATGCAGGGAGGCAGGTATGGCTCTTCCAGGGTGGAAGATGAGTCAATGGCATGAGTTTGAGGACCAGCCACAGAGATTCTCCAAAACCATGTCTCATGAGCAGAATCCTTCCTCCAACCATATTTATTTTAACTTTAAGAAGACTTACCACATATGGGACTAATCCAGAAGTCATGACTGGGACTCGCTTGTGTTTGCACACACTTGCCATCAGTATTACCAATTTTGCTATTTTAATTCCTGGTAGTAAGTAGCCACCCTTATTGTAGACTCCCCCCAAGGAAGAGTTCCCCTGTAGACCGTATTTGGTAAAAAATCAATGAGTATCCTTTTTCTTGCCAAAGCATGTTCCAACATGTCACGAACTCTAGTGATACAGAAGGTTGATGTTCAGCATCTGATGCCAAATGTGTAGTTCCTCCCCTCTGATACATAAAACCATGGTGCAGACTCTGCAGGGCCCCTGCTCTTTGGAAATCAGGGATCAAGCTACTGGCTTGCACACCTTATTCAATTTTCAAGCTCCTAAGCTCTTAAGAACTCCACTCCCATCCCCATGCCATTTGATCGGACTTGAGAGGCGAACACAGTTACCCTTGAGGAATAGAAAGAGTCTCAAAGTCTTTCAAAGGGATATCCTCATTCATTCCTCTTGGCCAAAAGGGTTAACTCCATCTCTCCCAAACCAAGATGGAAACACAAGGAGCCCATGCCATTAGCACTCCAACTTTTCTTGTGTTCTGGAAAATATCAGAGTATTCCCATATTGCCCAGTTTCCCCACCAATAAACCTTAGGGTGGACCCAGGTGGCAGGGAAGAATGCATTTCTGTGATCACCTGTGTGATTTCCAAAGTCCCTTTGTAACCAGTGTCACCCCCTGCTTTATGTTATTTTTCTCCTATCCTAAGCTTGTGATGATGACTTATTTATACCGAATATTTATCTGAAGGGAGTTTCTCGTCATTGTGAATGTACGTGTAAAATACGGAGACAAGAAAGTGTGCTGTCATCCGGCTAGCCAAGGGATCAGATTATCTGAAAAGAGGACACCGACGTCACCTTCTCTTCCTGCCCCAGGACTCCCCAGTCTTCCAGTTCTGGGCCATCTAGAGAGATAATGGGGTGTTTATTCCCCCATTACCTTTGCCAAGTGCCATATCATTGGTTGTATTTCTCTGTTAACCATGCTGAAAAGGAGGTCTTCAGAAGAACCACTATTCGAGGGACGATTCTAGTAAGTTGGGCAGAAATGGCATCTTCTAGGTCTGGAGGAGCTAAGAGCCACTGGCTCCCGGGGGAGTGGGAGCGTCACTACATCCAGAATCCAAACAGCCTTTGTGAGGTCCAGAGGAGAAGGATGAAAAGTCATTCTTCCCCAAATCTGTGTTTTTGTTTTTCTTTTTAACTAGTCAGGTGAATCCCTTAATCGCAAATTATGCCAGGTGGTTAAAGAAAACCCTTTCCTCTCCTCAGAACACGGAATGAGAAAACTAGAGCTTGACCAATAAGATCAATTTCTGCCATCAAGCATGGGGGGGGGTGGGGAAAATAAAATATTAAAATGAACTGTTTAATGTACTCTCATTTTAAGCACCTTCTTTCCCGTCTCTTGGTTGTTTTTGTTTTTGCTTTTTTTCTGAAGGAAGCGTAAAGAACATCTCAGTTTGCCTTAAAGGAACTGTGAAGGCTTCTCTGTAATTTAAGCTCGATTGGAATGAACTGAAACATTGTCTAATGTCTTTGTGGCTTTAGAGCTTTCGTTATATTGTGCCTACAAAGCGAATTATGTTTACATAAAAAATATAAATAAAGTATTCAGCATAGCAAAACCTCGCCTGGCATGTGTCACTCCACATAAATCGTTGTTGGATAAGCAGCCCCACGATGACTATACAAAGAACAGGTAACTGAAAAAGCAAAGGTTAGAAATTTGCTCGGAGTATCCTGAGGTGAGAAACCAAAGACCATATGGAGGAAACAGGGGCCAAGATGAGAAAAGCCTTTAAAAAGACATTCAGTTTCCCTCAAACTATAAAGTAAAACCAGTAGATAAAAGAGCTATTAAAAGTATCATGTAATAATAGCGATGAGGACAATAATGATGCTATAGATAATAATAATAATAAAACAATGATTATAAGGGCAAACATTTATGAGTTGCCTACTATACGCAGCTAAAAGAAACAGATGTGTATTCATTTCCCACAGTCCTAAGAGGTAAGGTCGATCATTATCATACAGGTGACAAGGCTGAAGCACAGGGAGATTCTGCACTTGCCTAAAATCACACAGGCAGTCAATGACCAAGCCAAGACTCACCAAACCCACACTCTTAACCACCCTATCATGCAGCCTTGTGCCTTAAATAAGGGTAAAACACAATGCATTTCGGGCTATCATCCCTTGCTCACTTGAAACTCTTTAGGGACTCTGTTTCTTCTGATTTCAAGGATATGCTTGCAAATTTGTCTTGCTTTATAGCAAATGATATGCACACCAAGAAGCATTTTTTTTTTCCTTCTGGCTCTCTAACCAAGTGTTTGGTGAAGTGCTGATTCTAAAATACATACACATGTCAACAATTTCCATTTTTATGATCTAAAATACTCAAGGTTATCAAAGACATACACAAAAGTAAATCTCTGAGGGTGAGCCTTTTGTGAAAGAAGAATTTATGATTGGGGAAGCTGTACTGTGTTTTACCATATTTCTCAGCAGAAAACCAGCAAAATCTAGCCAGACCCCATGTCTCTAGAATACCACACGTACAGACTTGAATCGACACTGTAGAAAAGTTAGTCATATTGTCGGTGAAATGCTTATAAAGTCATTGTACTGAGGATTTTCTCATATATTCTTATTTAATGCTCACCTTCTCTGTACAAATTCCCCGGCTGCACCTAGCCAGTGTTGGTGCACTGTCACATTTGAACATAGCCCACCAGTGAAAACTGGAATCTAAACTAAAATTTGAAAAAAATAAAACAAAAAAGCATGTGTATGTAAACCTATTTAATATGTACTAATACCAAAAGAAACAAAACAAAATGAAAAAAAAATATTAAAGCCACTTCTTCCTGGGAGGATGAGGTGGGAGGATAGCTTGACCTCAGAAGTTCAAGACCAGCCTGAGCAAGAGTGAGACCCTCATCTCTACTAAAAATACAAAAAATTAGCCAGACGTGCTGGTGTGTACCTGCAGTTCCAGCTACTTGGGAGGCTAAGGCAGGAGGATTGCTTGAGCCCAGGAGATGGAGGTTGCAGATTGCTATGGCCAGACAATGGCCTCAGACAGAGAGCCACAAGGAGCCATTGGTTTGTATGGGGACAACAAGGGGAGATGGAAGCAGGACCCACAGCTCCTACCATAACTTGTCTTGAGGACTTACTTTTTATTCTGAAGTCAAAGGGGAAACCTTTTGAGGCTTTCCAGAAACTATGTTCCAGTCTTAGCAACCACTCCCCACTCCAACTACCTCATTACCTCACCCCCCCCCCTTTCTTTTGGCATTTTGTTCTTTTAACTGGTCTCTTCAGTTGGGAGTGGAGTTTTGCTCAAAGGAGACAGCCAGAATGCCTTGCCATCTCACCAGGATGTGTCACTTCTTCAAGATCTTCCTGCCAGATTTCAGTTCTCTTCTTCTTCATTGGGACCAGAAAAATCTAGGGCTCTACGTGACAAAATATCGCATGTTTATTCAACACATGAACATTTGCTGCCTGCAGGACCCTGATCCGGGCCCTAGGAAGATAAATAAATACAAAGAAAATAAAACAGACCCTGCCTCAAGAAATCCATAGTCTAGCACTGTGCTATCCAATAGAAATATTATGTGAGCTATGTACAAAGCAATTTTCTAGTAGTCACATTAAGCGAGTAAAGAAAAATAAAGAAGTTTAATTTTAATATATTTTATTTGGCTCGTCGTACATAGAATGTTGTCATTTCAACATATAGTCAACATAAAGATTATTAATGAGATCGTTCACTTTCTATTTTTCATACTTAGACTCCAAAATCTGGTGCGTATTTCATACTTACTGCACATCTCCACTTTGACCATGCATATTTAAATGCTCAGTAGCTAGCACCTGTGACCAGTGGCTACCACTTTGGGCAGGCAGGTCTAGAGGAAGAGCAGAAATGAACACCGAAGTATACAACATAGCTTCAAAGAAGCAATGTTAGAGGGCATAACAGAGAGGCAAAGTAGGGAGGGATCGACCATACAATGGAAGGAGACAGTGAAGACAGTGGACACAGAGAAGGTGATGCTTGAGTGAAGTTTTGAAAGATGTTGTTTACAAGAAGAGGGCACCTACAAGCAGTCAGCATCGTGTCTGGCACACAGCAAGCACTCAATAAACATTAGCTTCCTCTCCCTCTCTCCCCAGTTGCCAATGCTGGGAAGAACAGCATGCTTGGGAAATAGTAGCTTCCTGCTGCTTTTTTAAAACAATAGAGACTCTATAGATCTCAATATTTTGCTTCTAGATTTGTTTGTGGGAGAAAACAAAATGAATGTTTTTGCATTCTCTGCCATGAGCAGAATAAGCTAAGCTCCTCTTACCAGCCAAGCAAAGACGCCAGAAAATGTGTGCCCAGAGTTATGCAAATTGGCATAACACCCAAACAAAGGAAAAACTCAGACAGGAGCAACTGAAACATAAACACAACACAGGCCTATGTACCCACACATGTTGCAGTAATGAAGCTTTGGCATGTTTCACACCAGGGATCAAATCTGGGAAAAATGCTTGGCATCTGAGCTTTCTCCTATTAAAATGGAAATGCTCATATTGTCTATGTCCTACAAGAGCAAATGTAATAGTGTGTGTATTAATATAAACCCATTGAAATCATGACTCACAAGTTCCAGTCTGAAAGCCAGATTACGAATGCCTTCAAAACAAGCTTTTTCCGTTCATTTCACAAACACTGATCAAATGCCTAGCATATTCCTGAAATTATATTTTTAGTTTCTTAGTTGCAAAAATAAGAAATGCATAGCCTCTACCATCTGGGAGCTCACAATTTAATATATGATAACAAATAAGTTTTGTCTCTTGTGCAAATAGTAGTGTATCTGTAGAGCCTGCTTTGGTACTGAGAGCTTATGTGGACTGAATGGTAATGAGCGTTGTAATTGATGAGCAGTGTCTGTCAGAAGCAGGTGAGGAGAGCTATCTACAGGAAATAGCTAGCATTAGGCTATCAGTGGGGAAGCTCAGAGTAGGTTCAAGAAGTGGGCCACTTAGCTACTACATGTATCAAGAGAAGGGATAAGGGACTAATAGGACCAGATTATGGAAATCTATGTATTTCACTGCAAGGCTTCTGGATTTTGTACTAGATGCAGAGGGATTAATCAAGGGATTGCTGGAGAATGGTCTCAAGTAAGAGAAGACCATGGGAAGTCTTCCCAAAATGAACTTCACCATTTTACTTGGTCCAGCTGTGGGAGGTGGAATGGATTGGGTGCCATATTGGAATAACAGTTCTTTGACCAGTTTCCCAGCATCCATCCATTGTCTATTTAGTCATGAGTTATTGCATCTGCTACATTGGCAAGAGTGGGGAAAATAAAATGAAAAAAAATTTTTAAAAAAGCCTCACTATAAATATGGCACAGCCATATTTATCTTATGAAAAAAAATCAGAAAGTTGTATACTTCCAATGTGGGCATGTTTCCATGTGTATCTTATATTTCAACAAAATGTTTATGTTTAGAATATTGATAAATGTTATATGCGGAAGACTTAGGAAACAAAAGAGAAAGAATACCATCTCAGCACCTGAAAGTAAGCTGTATTGTTATTCTGACCTATCCTAACATGCAGATTCTCTCATACACACATTCCTACACCCGTTAGTCCACCCCATATGTTCTCTTTATAAACTGCTCTATTCCCCTTTGGAAATATACTATGGGCATTTCCCATGTCAATCAATATTCTTTTACAGCAGGATTTTCATGATGGCTTAGAAATCCAGTATTTGAGTTATCACCTTTTAATTTTTGGTTGTCAAAAATAACGCTTTTGCTGTTTCCTTCTAAACTACCATCCGTAGACCCAGACCGGAGACTGTATTTGCTCCTTTATTCCCAACAAGGGCTACTCAAGGCAAGTTCTGGGTTTTTCAACAACAATCCCAGCTATCTACTGTATACTTTGGAGGGAAGCCTGGTCTCCTCGGGCAGAAATAAATTATAGAAAAGAAGCCAGGTGCAGTGAATGTGGGTCTTTCAGAGCCATCTTCCTGGACTTGCTGTCTCCACGCTGAAACGGCCAGACTCTGAGAGTGTTTCCTGTCTAGTTTCCACTTGGAGAAACCTTGTAGCAAAAAAACCCAGCATCCAGTGGTGTTGGACGGCCCCTCCGCTGATCTGGGAAAAGCAAAAGCTGAAAGACTCCTGAGATGAAAACTAGACACTAATAAAACACTGAGTCTTTCACTGTTTACCAGACATTCAAAATGGATGTGCTGGTGATTTCCTGAAAGGAAACAAAAGTCGGTTCATGTTCTGAAGCCCAGAAGGCTTTCGCAGCTGAGAAAAAGAGCAGTGTTTTCTAGATACCAGCAGCTCTCCACACAGGCTACCATCTTCCTCCCTAGCCTGAAAGGACCTCTCCCACATCTGAGACAAGATATAAAATTGAAAAACTGACCCAATCCAATCACTATTCCCTTCTCTCCAGAGGGAGGCAGACTAAGACCTCCTCTTTCCCATCGAATATGATCAGCAATATGTATTGAGAATCTTCAAATATTCATTCCCTTTGGCCAGTAATCTTAATTATTACATATGTGTGCTTAGTATGGGCTAGA